TGGAGTTAAAGGTTATTGCGTGCCCCTAGCCTGGACCTGACGGAGTACCTTCTCAAACAACACATCGATAGCCTGGTGGCTCCTCTCTGCCTTCTGTTCGAAATGTCCCTCTCCAGGGGGGTGTTTCCTTCCTGCTGGAAATCAGCTGAGATGTTTCCAGTGCATAAGAAGGGATGCAAAAGAAACATCGACAACTATTGGCGTCTTGCAGTGAAACTTTTTCAAGCTTTCGCCACCTACATTTCGAAGTGAGAACTTCTAGAAGGAGGATAGTTTCCAAATTCTCCAAGTAAAACAGACGATTTTTGGGGCAAATCGGTACATAAAGAAAAACTAATAGTTTCCGGTGGAAACTTTTGCTTAAATCGTGTAAGAAAACGTGTTTGCAAACTAACTGTTATTATTTCGGTATAGATTGGAGATGTTTTCATGGTAAATTATGCATAACAAGTTTGCACCCACAGGTAGAGGCGAGGGTAGAGGTTACCTCCTGCGCAGCTGCATTTTTCGGAAAATGGTGAATATGTGCGATGTCCACTAGGATGAAAGTGGAAATTAAGTGAATTTACTTAGGAAAGATTGTATCATGCTGGTGATAATGGAGAAATGGTTGTATAGGTCGCTAATATTCAATAAATGTTCATTTTGGCCTTTTTAGGCAAACATATTGATACTCACAATTTTCGACGGAAAACGCAACGGAACTTGATTTACTCAACACACACCATGCTATAAAATGGAGCTAGATGGTTTGCAATCTGATAAGAAGATGACAAATCATCTTTATTTTGAGTAATTGAGCAATTTACTTCTGTTTACATCATATGTACGATGCAGCATTGATGGAGCTGTGAAATTAAATGAATATATCTTATGAAAGTTCATCTGGAAAAGTCAAAGATGCACATCAGTCTGATCGTGAAAACATTTTCTTCTTCAATTCGAATGTTATATTGGAAGGATTTTACGCAGGCTTGATAAAAATTATGATTTAATGCTTATTTTCACGAATTTTATATGCAGTCTGTCAACATTATCATCATTATGCAGTGGCGACATCTGCGTCGAGCTTTTACGGCAATCTTCCAATCGCGGCATCACATCGTTGCGTGCCATATCTAAACTGTTCGAGTTGGTCGTTATGGAAACATTAGTTTCTCACTTCAAGCAGCACTTGAGCGAAGACCAGCATGGTTTCATGGCAGGGCGGTCGACTACCTCCAACCTTATTTGTCTCACCTCGTACATTACGGAGAGTATGACAGACCATATGCAAACAGATGTCCTCTACACTGACTTATCAGCCGCCTTCGCCAAGTTGAACCATCTTATAGCGATCGCCAAACTGGATAGGCTCGGTATAAACGGCAGTCTCCTACGATGGTTCGTATCAGTGCTGATAAAAATCCTTTCTTCTACACTCAATTTAGCTGAATATGAAGAAAACCTTAACAGATAGACCAACTACCTGTATGAATTTGAATTTTGATATAAACAAATTCACTTGATCTAGGCAACCTCTGAGTATCAAAAATAACATTTGTTTTTCTTCATTCGTGGCTGGATTCTCATTATCGCCTCTGTTGTTGTAAATATTGATATTCGTCTTCATCTTGGTCATGATTATTTTCATTTTAAACAAATATAGCGCTGAAGAACGTGGTTTTTAGACATAAGTCGACGGCAAATTATTGCCTCAAGCTGAACTGATGATAATATTGATGATTAAGGCAGTGTGGTCGACAATATTCAAAATAATCATTTTGCCCAAAATTTCGTTGATTATTAAGCTTTTGAGGATCACTTCTGATTTTCACAATTTTGGGTTTGATAATTGAGCACAGGTGAATATCAACAAACGCGTATTCGTTGATGTACAATAAACTCATTTCGACAGTGAGCATGCATAAGGGCGAATACGCGATGATCGATTCTCTTCATCGATTTTCTCTTTGCATTGCTACAGCTAAGCGAAACAATTTTCTAGAATTTGTTCAATGCGGAGTAGTAACAGGTTGTATTGGCTATCAAAAGCAACAGCAAACGCACCAAGAAACGTTAAATCTAGCGAGTTATTAACAAAAGAGAAAATCGACGAAGAGAATCGATCATCGCGTATAGGCCCTTATGCATGCTCACTGTCGATTTGTTCATTTCGCTCGTTTCGTAACTAAGAAGATGTTCAAAACAAACGCAATTCATCGACACTGGGTTGAAGCGCTACTCCTTGCGTGTCATGGTAAATGATAAAAACAGACACTGGTTCGTATCCTATCTAGGTATCTGATCGTCAGTTGGAAGTTGCAATCGACGACTGCCCATCTCCTTCGTTCCCTGCCACTTCGGTAACCACCTCGGCCCGTTGATATTTCTTTTGTATTTCAACGACGTCAATTTCATCCTCGACGGTCCACGACTGTCGTTCTCAGATGACATGAAAATCTATCTCCAAATCCGAGCTATCGCTGACTGCCACCTTCTCCAACTCCAACTCAACGCTGTAGCTAATTGGTGCCAACTGAACCGCATGGTTGTAAATCCAACCAAATGTTCAGTAATCACGTTCTCACGGAAGAAACTCTCCAATCACATTCAGTTATATCCTAGGAGGCGTTGACGTACATCATGTGAATCACATTAAGGATCTGGGAGTCATCTAGATTATCAACTCACATACAGCCAGCATATCTCGTACGTGATCGACAAGGCATCCAGAACGCTCGGCTTCCTTTTCAGGATAGCTCAAAGTTTCACGAACATCTACTGTTTGAAGTCGCTTTACTGCTCCCTCGTCCGGTCGGTGTTAGAATACTGCTGCCCTGTATGGAATCCCGATTACCAAAACAGTGTACAAAGATTAGAGTCTATTCAACGACGATTCGTCTGGTTTGCCCTTCGACGATTGCCTTGGAGGGATCCTCATCGGCTTCCAAGCTATGAAAGTCGGTGCCAGTTAATTCACCAAGATCCTTTGTACTCTCTTCGGTCCCAAGCTAATAGATTCACCCCTCGAAACATAGGATCCACGAGCCCCTCATTTTATCTGTCAAACTTTCATAGCGAATCAAAACAAACATAGTGTAGTACTAGAATTTTGACAAGAATGGGATACGTTAATCGATTTGCTTGGGACCAATAGGCTAGTCAAGTAGTGAGCCAATTTTAAATCGTTAGTTTCCACCGGTTGGTAGTAGTGTTGCCATGTGGTACACTGGATTGCAATAGCAGGTTCGTCACCAAAGTTTTCGAGCCGCTCCGTCAGTCACTTCGTTTGTGATTATAGAGATTTTCACATCCGGATGTATTGGTGCGATATGTGAGAGCGTGTTAGTGAATATCCGAGGAAAATATATAACAAATCGATGTCAAACTCATTTTGACCGATTTACTTTCAAACATTTTTTAGGTTAGGAAACTTATAAACAACTTTACACGGCGTTTCTCCTTCTAGTGTGCGTGCGTTAAACGTCACTAATCTCTATAACGCTGAGGGGGTACTACGAACTTTTACAAGTTAACAGTTAAAATGTTAAGTAGAAATGATGATAGCCTTCCTAATAGTTTAATAACTGTTTCTACTGCCACCACTTCAATGTGACAATCTCTCAATGTAAACGGAAATTCACATCCCAAACATGGTCTCCATAGCATCGCCTCGTCCCCTTTGGAATACGATGTCTGGGTACGCTTTTTCAATTACTTCAGTTAATCAACTAGCAAACTATAACCTGCACAACAATCTCATCCAGCATGACTGGTGAGACGACCCGTAAAAAATATATTTCAACTTTCTACTCAACTTCTCCATCCGTCTCACCTGTCACGTTTCCTCCACCCCTATAGCAAGAATTCCCAAGGACGCAAACCACATCACATCCGCGCGCGCTCCACCGAGAGATGCTGTCACACATTTGCGCGCGGTTGACTCCCCCTCAGCGGTCGCCCTCGTCGTCGTTACGGGATTAAATTGAATCAATTTTCTATTTCTGCACTCCACCACCTCTTAAAAGAGCACCATCAGACCGACCGTCTTGAGAAAGGAAGGATGCTCTTACGTATACATTGGGGACTAACCCAATGTTTCCACCACCTATATATCTCAAAATGTGTGCGAGCACACGGACAAAATTGATGCGGAAAGTACGATAGATTGCAGTTGAGTTGCTTCATCATTTTCCAAGATGAAGATCCGTTCAGCTCGAGATTTGATGAAGAAGAAGTCCAAACCACCAACCGATATGGATGGATGGATGGCTGGGATGGTTTCTTCCATAGATACAACACTTGGTGCTGGTTACGCTCCGTCGAGTTCATCTATGCGCTTGTATAATGAATTCTGAGCATCATGGCTTAAGCAGAATCTACATACCTATTTGGTGCCGGAAAGGCATGAAGATGTTGTCTTTCACGTCCAATAATGCTCGAAAGTAATTAGATTTACAACCTGGATGAATAATGGGACCCGTCTTGAGATGACTGGGAACAGAGCAAATATACGATGCTATTAGTCTCAGCCTAGGTGGGAGTGGGGTATGCCGTATGTGGAATATATTGTTCAACCTAGTTTGCAGTGAGATTTGAGCTAACTGACATGGCAAGAGATGACTTTTGCGGTACTGGCGACTAAAGAAACACACATGCTGTGCTCAATTAAATCATGATTTTCATGTTGATGATATTATGATGGTGAAGTCTGAACTAAACCAGAACTAAACCGAATGTGAATTATGAGAATTTCGGTCCGAAGTTGGATGTCGTTCGCAGCACATGCTAAATTTCTAATCCAAATCAGTTTACAAAAAGCCCACATTTCATTTCTCTAACTTCCATGAAAAATGTTCCCTCGAAAAAGGAGACCGATTCGCTTCAACGCCACAACATCAAACCATTTGCGAGAAAAACCGGACAGCATCGTATCCTACTTCTCGTCAAGGGACTGTGGCACGTACACGAAATACAGATGGGTCACCATTCAAAAAAAAAATAAACAAAAAACTTACCGGGTTCATTTGTTGGTGCCGAATGCTGCGGGTCCGTGGAGGATGCATCGTCAGTGCGGATCGCTCGAAAGCAAACACTCGTTAGCAGTGTGACGAAAAGCAAACATTTTCCGATTTCAATTTTACATATTTTCCCCGTCGCCATCGACGACGCTGAGTTGGCCACCAATTGGGGCATCCTTTTCTCACTTTAGCACTTTTACCAGTGGCAAACGTTTTTTTTTTCCTAGCTGCCTTACATTCGCCTCTCCTGCCTCGCTCTATTGGTGCTTATTTGGTGAAATCTGATTTCTTCCACTTGGCAGACAATTTTCCGCGCGTTCTGCTCTACTTGATTCTCGCCGCCGCCGCCGCCTGATGAAGACAACGACCGATGGCAGCGCAAATGCCTCCGAATGTTTGCTCAGGCAGAAGCTGGTCCTGATTGTGCAAACATCGGATGGCAATAATATTCCAAAGTGATATGGAAATATAATCTCCGCCGTCTCGCGTTGTCACACGTTGGTTGCTGCCTTCGGGGACTCTGCGGGTTCTCAGCACTAGCTCTGCTGTGTCAACGCGATGCCGACGGTGTGACACCACGTCGCAGGTTGCGTTGGGGGTAAGGTGACAGGATGCCGATCCTAAAACGGAACAAGTATGAAACGAACTTAGTAAGGTTGGCTTGGCTCGGTGGCAGGAGAAACAGGGAAAAACAAAAAAGCTTACAACAACCCCTTGGGCAAACCTTTACTAGAGGAAAAGCCTCGTGGATATTTTTAGTATACGGGCAATATCCTAGGTTTATTTTCAGGACGTTTGCTCAAGCGGAAAAACCGATAGCCTTGCTAGCGCATATTTTGGGTATGGAAATATATGGTGCATGTTTTTATTTTTTATTGAATGATATAGATGAGAATATATGTTGGGCTGTTTGGAACACAATTGAATGAGCAGTGAATATTTCTCACAATTAAAAAAAAACTACAGAGATAATACAGAGACTTTTTTGAGGTCATAGCATGTTTTGATTTATATTTTTAACATTTATTAATTCATTATCATTGAACTAAAATCATATAGACCGTTGTGCTTTAATTCGTGTTTTGAAAACTAGTCTGCTGATATTAAATTGAATCATCATATCCAGCGGCATTTTGAGATTTTTTTTAGTAATTACTTTATTTGTACAGGCTCAATCGAATAAACTTTACAGATGCGAGATATCATTTTCGTTATACATTATTAATGTTTTATGTTTTAAGTTAAAGGAACTGGATCGAATACTCGCGGTTTTCTCGAGGTTAGTGGAGATTTACAATATGTTGGATGGGAAAAGGGAGAAGGAGGTTTGAAATGGTATTTACAATACAAATATGTAATTAATTCTAAAACGTGAACTTATTTCTATTCAACTTGAAAAAAAAAAATAAAAAAAACCCACACGTACAAAATACAAACTAAACACAAGGTTAAGCAAACTTACAATCTAAGGCTAAAATTCTTAAAGTAAATTTAAATGAGTTTCATAAACTCCAGATCGCGTCTAGCCAAAACATCCCGAACTGGAACATTAGGTTGTCTACCTCCAGCCCGAAGGGAATCGTACAGCTCAGATCTGACTCCACGATGCTCAGCACAAGACCAAATAATGTGATCTGCGTCCTGGTAACCTTGTCCACATTCACAGAGATTGCTGTCCCCCAGCCCAACACGGAACAAGTGAGAGCTAAACGAATAGTGATTGAACATGAGGCGAGACATCACACGAATGAAGTCTCGACCCACATCCAACCCTTTGAACCAAGGACACCTTAGGGATGATCGAATATAGCCATCGTCCCAAACTCCTTTCACTCCATTTATTTTGCCAGCTGGCGAGTGACTGTTGACGATAAATGAAGATAAATTCATCGTAGGCGATTTGTCGATCGTAAATATCGCCTTCCATAGCGCCCACCTTAGCAAATGAGTCCGCCATCTCATTGCCCGGAATCAAGCAAGGAGATGGGACCCATGCAAAGGTAATGACAAAAGATCTTAAAGATAAAGCACTTAGAAACTCTCGTATTTGCATGAGAAAATATGAGGAGTGCTTTACCGGCCTCATGGAGTGAATATCCTCGACAGAACTTAGACTACCCGTAAAAATAAAATAGTGATCTGGTACAAGTGAGGCGATAGATTATAGAGTAAAATGTATTGCCGCCAGCTCAGCAACATATACGGAACAAGGAGCTTGAAGCATTCGAGAGGCGCTATGAAATTCGTTATGAATACCAAAACCGGCGGATCCATCTGTGAAGAACGATCTTGCGGAATCAACTTGGCCAAACTTTGCAGCATAAATTGACGGAACAATCATGGAGACGATGATGTTTTGGGATTCCGCGAATCTCTTGCGTCATAGAAAAATCAAAACTAACTGAATTGCCGAAATCGGAGAAGCATACACGATGAGGATTATGCTGTGAAGGGCTCACATCCCGTGTTATGTACCCGTAGTACAATGACATAAAACGAGTTTGAGGGTTTAGCTCAAGAAGCTTCTCAAAGTTTTCCATTACCAGTGGGTTCATAACTTCACAACGGGTGAGGAGCCCGAGGAACAATTCCGAAAACCGATCAGAGAGTAGCAACATGCCCGCCAACACTTCTAGACTCATCGTATGAGTCGAGTACGTGCATCCTAACGCGATACGAAGACAACGATACTGGATAAGTTCCAGTTTGATGATGTGAGTTTTAACCGGCGACTGGAAGCAAAAACTACCGTACTCTAAAACCGATAAAATCGTTGTCCGGTACAACGTTAGAAGATCTTGCGGATGAGCTCCTCACCACGTTCCGGTAATTGTTTGGAGAAAATTGATACTTTGTTGGCATTTTCGTCTCAGATACTCAATGTGGGATCTCCAGGTGCATTTGGACTCGAACCAGACCCCAAGATATTTGAAAAACATGGAATGAGTGATCGGCTTGCCCAAAAGTTGAAGCTTCGGTCAAACTCAGTTTTCTCCGTGGAGAATTCGATACCTAGCTGGATAGCCCAAGGAGACAAATTGTCTAAGGTATCCTGTAAGGGTCCTTGCAGGTCGATCCCTTTGTTCCCTGTCATAGACACTACGCCGTCATCTGCAAGTTGTCTCAACGTGCAGTTGTCACTTAGACAATTGTCAATTTCTCTGACGTAGAAATTATACAAAAGGGGGCTTAAACATGAGCCCTGGGAGAGACCCATATAACTACATCGAGAAGCTGTAGAGTTTCCATGAGAAAAGCTCATATGTGTAGAGTTTGTCCGAAGGGACTTCAACCGATACTGAATCAAAAGCCCCTTTAATATTTAAGAACACAGAAGCCATTTGCTCTTTTTTAGCAAAAGCCAATTGAATTTCTATGGAAAGCAATGCGAGACAGTCGTTCGTTCCCCTGCCCCTACGGAAACCAAATTGATAATCTGAGAGTAGGTGTTTCATCTCAACCCATTTGTCCAGGCGAAAAAGGATCATTTTCTCCAACAATTTTCGAATGCACGATAACATCGCAATGGGATGATAAGAGTTATGATCTGACGCGGGTTTCCCAGGTTTTTTAGTGGCAATTACTCTCACTCGCCTCCAATCATCTGAAACAATATTGAACTCCAGAAACTGACAAAACTGAAGTGTACTCGTCTAATGACGAAGATAACAAATGAAACGTTAGATCTGAAAAGATATTACCCACTGGAAAACGAATCTGTAATACTTGTAACGCTATCAAAGTTACAAAAGCAAATAAACAACACTGAGAGCTCGCATTCGATTATCGAACTTCAAGCTGAAAACAAGTTTATTTAAAACCATCTAGGGATCCGAAATCCACCCCCTCTAGGACTTTACAAAAACATGTTCAACATGCGCCTCTTAGCGACGTCTGGGAGGTTCTTCAATAAGTTGAACTTGATCCTATCAGCCCCCGGAGCCGAATTGCTACACGAAAGGAGCGCGAGTGAGAGCTCCAGCATTGAAAAAGGCTGGCTGATCTCGTCTACCGAATTCGTCGTTTCGCGAAGAAACATATGTGCCGGCACGGAATCAGGACATAGGGGAAATGTAGGTAATGTCGGCCTACATGTCCCTAATTTGGGCCCATCGCTAAAAGTCTGCTATTTATCAATTGTATCTAGATGAACGCGTTATTGGGACGTTACTAATGGATATTTTTGGTTGCTATTGAAAATTTAGTTGATTGCTGAATTTATGTATGGGCCCAAATTAGGGACACTTAGGCCGACATTACCAGCATTTCCCCTACTTTTCGCGCGAACTTGAGAATCCAACGATCTGAGTACTCCTCGCTATCATTGTTCGAAGACCGGTTACGCATCCTTCGCGCCGCGTTCCAAAGCGTATTCATCGACGTTTCGCGCGATAATCCGTTTTTGAATTGCCGCCAGTATCCGCATTTCTTGGCTTTGATAAGGCCCTTGAGTTCTCGGTCAAGAGGCCAGTCGATCCCTCTTGACCCCAATCTGGAGGGCCAAGCAAAGATCCACATCGGTCCTTCGTCACGCGCACTCCAGACAAAGAATGCGGAAAAAGGCGATATTTAAAGCGCCCGTTGGACGCTGATATACAATGCGAAAAGAATATTAGAATAATATCGAAGACAACAAACCAAGAAGACTGACAACTTTGCCAGAATCCAAGCGACCCTTCGTCTGAGGATGTAATCTTTGCTATCAAATTCGTTCAAAGCATTTACCTTTGAGCGGCAGATGACGCGATTGTACCTGTCTCATAGCGTTCGTATGAGAAAATGGAAGAGTTGCCCGTCTTCTTGATTTGTTGTCTTCAATATTCTTATTCTAATATTCTTTTCGCATTGGACATCAGCGTCCAACGGGCGCTTTTAATATACGGCCTAAAGGCTCGTCTTTTTCCGCATTCTTTGTCTGAAGTGCGCGTGACGAAGGACCGATGTGGATCTTTGCTTGGCCCTAATAATATACAAAGAAATAAATTTTGTGATAATTTACCTTTCAATTTTAAACGAAAATTCAAGCAAGCAGTGTGTTCACCCTTTTTGATACACAAAGTCCAAAATCTATTATTAATTTACACAAAAGAAACAATAGACATTAGTTCACTTCCAGCACATTTAACAAAATATTCTGCTTTTAGCTTTATTTTACAACTTACACACCTGAAGTTAAATTCCAAAAAAAAAAAAAGATAAATTAAAATCACAGAGCTCACTACTGCTCACAAGTCGACTTAAAACTGAAATGCCCTATACGATTATCAAAATCAGCGATAAAGCTTCAAATTCAATAGTCATCGACTTGACTTTACAAATACTTAATCAATTAAATTACATGAACTACCACAGTACACTGTGATTCTAAAAATGCGGGCCATCTGCGTTTAATCCTAACACTAACAATCTGTACACAATATACGCAAGAGCTTTTATCCTAAATTTAAAAAGCTAACGTAGAAGTTAACATAAATAATCGATCAAAATATTTACAACAAACCGAGTACGCTTCGAAATGCACGGGTGTTCCACGTTTCTGGAAAAGCTTAAACGCGTCGGACTTTTTATGATAAACCTCAGTGCATTGCTGGTCGCACCAAGGGGAAGGAGGCGGAGTTTG